GCAAAAAAAAAAAAAAAAAAAAAAAAATTGTGATAATAGAATATTAGCAAATGCAAAAATCAAAAATGATAAATAATATAAAAAAGGGAGAGTTAAAAATAGATGATAAATATAAAACATCAGATATAAATTTATTAAATGAGAACATTGAAAAGTATGATAGACATAAACTAAGAACTATTTTAAGGAATTACATTCGTCATAACAATAGATTATTAAATTATCATAAATTTAAAGAAGTGATAAGTAACTTTGATTCATTTAAAAATGTTTTCATTATATATGCAAATAGTTTTTTAAGTAAAAATAAAGCTTTTAGTCATAATTTTCGATATTCTAAAATAATAAAAATTCTAAATTTAAATAAAAAAGGCAAAAGATTAATATATGGAGATAATTTCATAAAAGAAAATGTATTAAAGCTGAATAAAAAAATTACAAAAAATGAAAGGAATAATTTCCTATTAGAAGAAAACAAATATTCACAACAAAATTATTCTAATGAAGATAAAAAATTGGAAATTATTGATTTTTATTACAATGTAAAAAAAAATGATTTAGAAAAATTAGACAAAATTATTATAAACAGCAATTTGACATTACCAACTTTCAGTTATTTTGATATATATTTATTTAGTAATAACAAAAAGTTAAAATATGAAATCAATAAAAAAAATATTAAGTATATTGATATTAATTCTGTTTTGTATTTTTTATATGTATCTGTTATTATTGCGTATATCAATTTAAATGATTTTCATAATGCTAAAGTTAAATTTTTTGAATATATATATTTAAAAAAAAAATTTAAAAAAATTAGGAAATATTATAGTGAGAACGAAAAAAAGAAAATAAGAATAAGTAGCTTATTCTCACCTGAATTAAAAAGTAAAATATATGATTATTATGATACTTTACATGAAAAGAAAGCATCGTCTTTTCTATTAAAAAATGAAAATGAAAGGAATAAAAAATATCAGAAAAGAGAAGCATTTGTTTCCAAAAACACATTTGAAAATAAATTTAATATTACAAATATTGTTGATAAAAATGATTTCATAAATGAAAATACAAATAAAAGTATTAACAAAATTCAAGATAAAAAAGAAATTTCAAATAATAATAATAATGCTAAAAAAATAGATAAAAATGATAATGGATATTATAATATCAACAACAGAAATAAATATTTAAAAAATTATAAAATAAAATCATCTAATTTATCTCATAATGTTTATAAGGAAAACTTGGAAGATTTAATGAAAGAAGGAAATTATAATTTTACTGATTCAAAGAAAAGAAGTAATGATATTATTTTAAAAGAACATAGTTCATTAAAAAGCGAAAATAAACTTCTTTTTAATGAAAATTCAAAAAGCGATAAAAATAAAAAAAGAAGGGAAGTAAAACAGGATTTAACTTTAGATGTATATTTGTTATTTCTAAAAATAAAATATAAACAAAAATCCTTTGAAAAGTTAATAGAAGTTTTAAAAAATATTCCTTTAGATGAAAAAATATGTAATATAAAAAAATTAAGAAATATAGTGAATAACGAATATAATGAAAAAATAAATATGTCTAAAAAAGAAAGAATTTTAAGAAATTTAATAAAGATTAAAGATAAAAGATACTATTTCTATAATTATTTTTTTGATGTTTTAATATATTTTTCATATTTTAAACAAATAAACACCATTGAAGGATTATTGGTAATGGCTTTAATTTTTAGTAAATTAAATTTCATAAATGTTGCACTATATATATATAAAAATATTTATTTGTATTTTTATTATATTTTTGAGAATTATCAAAAGAAATTGAAAATATTTGATTTAAGTCATGAAATTAATAAACTAAATTCATTTAATATTAAGGAAAATATAGATTATTTAAATAAAAATATAGAATTAAAAAAGGAGAATATTTTAAAAAATAAATTAGAAAATTTAAATAAAAAGTATGTTTTAAATAACAGAAAAGAATTAAATGATAATAATTTTTATTCTTCCTCTGTAAGATTGTTTAGCGATAGCAAATACAACAGTAGTAGTGATAATAGCAATAAAAATAATAAAAATAGTTGTATAAATCCTATTATAAATAATAAGAAAACTGTTCGCATTTTTAATTATATTCTAAAAATTTTAAGAAAGAATAATAATTTTTATTTTATAAATGATTACTGGGAAGAAAATCATTATTCTAAATATTGTAATTTCTTCTTTTTAAATAAATCACTCAATATACATTTAAATAAGGTTGATGATATAGTTGTTACTAATATTATAAAGAATTCAATTTCATATAATTATAAATACATTTTTAATGGAATAAAAAAACATATTTTAATTTACTTGAATTTAATAAATCATATAGAAACCAAGTATATATTCTATCAAAATAATTATAATTTAAAAAATATAATATATTATTTATATTTAGATAAAATTATAAAATATTATGATTCCAATATATTCACATATGAAAAAAATATGTATGTAATGAAAAGAATAATATTTTTAGATAACCATATAAGTTTATTCCACCTATATGAAAATAGTTTGCTGAACGATTATGACTTAAAACATACTTTTTTAAAAATATACTTAAATCTTTTCAAAAAGGATTCTTTATTATTACGAGATAAAAAAAATAGAAATGAAAACAGTCTTTTTTTCAATACTATGAATAATGAATATAATGTTAATAATGAAGAAATTAATGAATGTTATAAACATAATATAGATAAAAGCAATTATAATTTAAAAGACAGTTTAAATAATGACTTGAAATTAAAAAATAATAAAGATGATTATGTAAATATAGGGAAGGAATATAGTAAAAATTTAAAAGGTTATGTTAGAATTTTTTCTTCTGATTCTTTTAAGAATTGCGATTTTTTAATTAAAGAAGACAACTTAGAAAAATATTTTTTAAGCAATTATATAAATAATGATTATAATTTTATTAAGAATAATGAAAAAGTAAATGTAAATGATGAATCTGAAAGAATTTTGTTTAAAAAAGATTTTGCTAATAGTTTTTATAATAATTCTGAAAATATCGATAAAATTTCTATTAATAACAACAATATTATAGATTTCAGAAATGATAAATGCTATAATAACTTCAATTATAAAAAATATAATTCTGACATTATACTAAATAGATCAAAACAAAATTTTGAAACTCATAATGATGATATTAATACGAAAAGTTACACCTATTCTAGTGATATAAACACAAAGAAAAGAATAAAAAATGATTTTATATATAATATAAGACCTGTATCTTGTGATAGTATGTATGATAAGGATGAAAAGTGTTATAACAAAGAAAAGAATGATAATTTGATTGATACCATTTTTAAAAAAAGAATTAATAGAAATATATTTAGTGTAAATAGGAATTTAAATGAACATAATAATATAAATTTAAAAACACACAATTTGAAAAAATTTTTTAATTTTAATAATAATGAATTGAAAATCTTAATTTATAATTTTTTGTATTTATATATTTTTGATGAATATTTATACATTAATACACATAAAAAAGATATAAATGAATATTTTAATTTTGTTAATGTTCTAAAACGAAAACAGAAATTAAGATATAATTTCTATAATTTTCTCTGTAAGCCAAATAAAGATATTGGTGATGAAATATCATATTATAAAAAATATATAAAAGAAAAGTATTTAAATAAAAATAAAAAAAAAGATAATAAGATATATAATTCCATGTTTATAAATAAAACTATTAACGTCAAAATGAGAAAAAATATTCATTATAAGACAAAAAACAAAAAAAGACTATCAAAACAAAGTGAGGATTGTAAAAGTTTAAAAGAAAATAAAAAAATACACATGGACTCTATTTTCATAAATAATAAAAAAAATTATAATTTTAAAAGTATAAATTTATTAAGAGAAACATATAGAAAAAATTTTATTAGTTATAATGCTAAAATTAACATAGAAAAATATGAACATATTTTTTTCTTATTTTTAATAACTGAAATGTTGTCAGTCATAATATTACCATATATTAATTTTCATTTTCCTTTTATTTATATAAATATTAAAAAGAATTGTCATAATAATAAAAATTTTCAGTTAGATAAATTTAGATTTGAAAGCATTAGTATATTAAATACTCATAATTGTTATAAAAATTGTAATAATAGGTTAAATAAATGTGAAAAATCGTTTGTGTGTACAAAAAGAGAATTCTCATCAAATATTTATCATCAAAAAAAAAAAAAGAGAAAATTTTTTAATTATAATATAAGAAAAAAAAAATTATTATATTCTCCTTCAAATGATAATAAAATAATTTATTATAAAAAAAAGGACTTAAAAAATGAGAAAAAGTATAAACAAAAGCATTCTTTATTAAATGATAAAAAAGAAAAGAGGAACAATATATTTAATAAAAAATATTCTTCAAACTTAAAGAAAGTGAGCAAAAAATATGATCATGTTAATAAAAATATATATTATATAACTGTGTGCAATTTTATTGAATTTAATGGAAAACTAAGGAAAATTAATAATTTATCATTAGAATTAAAGAATTTTGTAGAAAAAAATTACTTATTTAATGATTACTATCATGTAGATGTTTATGAATTAAACAAAAAACTTAATCATAAAGGCAAATATTTTCTTATAAAAAAATATGAACAAATAATAGCATTATCTTTTTTTACTAGATTTAATACCTATTTAATTTTTTCTTTATATCAACGTATAGCATTATTAAATTATTTGTACAGGAACTATAATTTAGTTATATCTATTTTGAGATACATTAATCATGTGCATTGTAAATTAATAAATCAACACACAGGTAATAATCTTAAAAAAAAAAATGAATTAGAAAATAATAAAATTAACGAAACAGGTGAAAAAAGACTACATTTTGATGTAGAACATGACAAAATTAAATTTTTTTTTTATATGAATAATGAAGATATTCACTATGATGATTACATAATTAACACTTATAGCACAAATTATATAAATGATAAATATAAATTAAATGAAAAAAGTACTTTCCTAAATGAAAGAAAAAATTTTTATGAAAAGTTATGTGAAATAAAATCATTTAGGTTTTCTTTGTTTTTTGATATTTTATTTGAGTTAAAAGTAAATTTCAATTATTTGCATAGTGGCCACATATGTGTACAAAACTCTTTAAAATATTTATTTTTTTTTTTTAAAAATGCTCATAAATTTAATTTAATTATTGATTCTAAACAAAAAAAAAATCAAAAAAAATGCAATGAAATAAAAAATAAGATAAATACAGGTATTAAGGAAGAATCAGGTGTAATTCTATCAAAGGAAAAATTTATGAAAATATTCAATAAAGATGAAAAAATTATAAATTTTAAAGAAGCATTTTATGATACACATATTTCTATGAATCATAAAAATAATGATTTAAAGGAAAAAACATCTTATTTTAATAAAAGTAGATTCAATTTAAAAGACAAAAATTCAGATTTGAATAATGAATTTTCATTCGAAGAAAAATATAATGATATCCATACAAATAATTTAAGTGAAAAAGATCATTTAAAAGGAGAATATTTTTTTCATCATAAGATTGATGTAAATAAATTAAGGGGTTGTAAGTTATATTATATAATAGGTATTTCATTATTAAAGCAAATAAATAATAATTATTATTATGACAATATAAGGGAAGTAAACTTGATATATGAAAAAGACTTAATAAATAACGAAATAAATATAAGTAGTATTGTAAAAAATGATTATATGAAGTTACTAAATCTAAGCTATAAGTATATAATTAAAAGTATCAGTGTAGACCATAATAATATATTAAGTTATTATTATTTGTGTGTTATTTATTTATATAAATTAAAAATTAATAAATGTATTTATATTTGTAAAAATTTTCTTTTAAAAAACTTTTATAATGCATATGCTTTTCCTTTTTTTTTATTAAGTATTGTAGCATCAAGCTCTAGGAGAATTAGAGATGAGAAATTTTTTCATAAAAGATATTACTCTTTTAATAAAAAAATGAGAAAAAAACATAACGATAGTAATAAATTATCTGATTATAACAAATGTAAGATAGATAACTCTTCTATTTTTGAGTTTTATGATAATCAATATATATTCTTAATTAATAAATTAAAATATAAATCGCCTAACTTTTATAATTCTATTACAAATATTAATGATGTATTCGAATCCCATAACGTAAATAAAAAAAAAAAAAAAGAATTTTTTAATATTTATGATTTATTCAAATGTGATATAAATACAGTTAAAAAAGAAAAATGTAGTAATTATGAAAAAGATAATATTGCAAAAAATGATAAAAAAATCATTCATTTAAATGAAATGGAAATGGACAAAAAAAAAGAAAAACAGTTATTTGTTGAAAGTAAGGATATAAATTATAAAGTTAATAAAAATAATGAATATAATAATATACAACAAATAGAGAAAAATCATATTATTAAAAATCACAGAAGTATACCTAATAAAGAAAAATATATTAATAAACCTAAAAATCTTCATGATAACATTTTACTTGAAAAAAATTATATTAATAAAACTTCTTTTGTAATTTTAAACAAGGCTATAAATTTCTTTTCATACAATTTTTTTTTTTTTTATATATATGTTCATTTTCTAATTAATTTTTTTTGTATTTGTGACATTTTTTTTTTTTGGGAAAAAGGGAATAATAAAGAAAAAAATAATAATGGTTTTAAAATTAAACATTTAAGATATTCAGTATTACAAGAAATATCAAAAAAACATAAAATTAAAACAAACATAAGTTCTTCATCAGATATATTTTTTTTAGATGATGAACTTGACTCAAATAATTTTAGTCATTCTTCTAACGATATATTTGATGACAATAATGAAAATTATAAAAATGATTCTGAATTATACTATAGCATTCATAGGAATATTAAATGTTGTAACAATTTAATGAAAAATAGGAAATCAAAAAAGAATAAGTTAACGTCTAATATTGAAGAAGAAATTGATAAAATAAAATTTTTTTTTAAAATTTTAGGAAAAGAAAATGTTAAAACTAATAAAAGTAATAAAAAAAAAGTATCATTAAAAAAAAATGAGAATGAAATTTACGACAATGAAAGAATAAAAGGAAGAAATTTATATGTTAGAAAAGACAATGGAAGTATTAGTAGCATGTGTAATGTTAATAAAAGTAATATAAATAAAAATCACATAAATAAAAATGAATATATTGATGTTAGTAAAATAAAATTATTACCTTGTTCAATACCATTAATAATGATTTTATATAAATATATTTATAAAAAAATTGTTAAAAGAAAAGGTTCAGATTCATTTATATATTTTTATTTAAATAATATTATGTCTAACATAAATTTAAATAGAATTAAATGTGAATTACATGAAATGAACAATGATTTATATTTTAAAAATGAAGAATTTGAAAATAGCGATTATTTTTTCACAAATTTCAAAGAAAGTAATAAACTAATTAATAAGAATTATTATCATTATTTCTGCAATAAAAATAAAAATAACTGTTTAAGAAAAGTTAGTTTAAAAAATGTGTATTTTGAAACAATAATATGGATAAATTTAAGCGAAATATTGATATATTTAAAAGTAGATGCAAAACTAATTATATATTTTTTTAATATAATTAGTACTTACATAGAATTTTACTTAAGTTTAAATAATAATAATAATAATTATAATTTCGAGAATACCACATTTTTCTATAATTTAACACATCAATTTATGTGTTTAAAATGTTTATATCTGTTTTATTTATATTCAAAATGCGAAAAGAAGTACAAGAGTACTGATTATAAAAAAAAAAAACTAAATAATATGTATTATTATATGGAAATGAAGTATTTCTTTAATAATTTGAAAAATAAGAGATTATTTTTCAATAGTAAAAATCTATATACAAAAACTCTTTTTTTTGAAAATGAATATTATATGCATAATTTTAAGTTGAATATGTTTTACCAACCAAAAATTGTTTTAGATAATAATTGTGTTTCTTTTAATGACAAATTTTGTAAAAATGATTTTAAACTTTCTTTTCAAACATTAGAAAAGAAAGAAGTAAGAAATAGTTATTGGCCTTTTAAAAACATAAATAAAAATAAATTTATCACAAAGCAAATTAACAATAATGACCACTGTAATAAAAACACAACAGAAATGAAAAAAAAAGAAATAAAAAAAAATAAGCAATGTGAGAAGAAAAGAAAAAAAGCTAATAATATAGAAACAAATAATACATATCTAGATGAAGAACATTTATTTAATTCTTTTGTTTACAAAGATGAAACAAAAAACAGACAAAAAAAATATAGGCTAATAAAAAATATAAAAATTTATTTATCTTTATTAAATAAAATATATTATAATGATAGAAAAGTGAAAATTTTATATGCTCGATATTATTTTTTAAAAAAAAAATATTTAAGAGTTATAAATATTTTATCACTATTAAATAATCATTACCAAAATATAGATTATCTTATTAAGAGTAAAAAAAAGAGGAATGGCAAAAATGAAGAAAAAAATGATACAACAAAAAGTAATTTCTCAAATAACCAGTTTTTATTCCATTTAAACAGTCAAACTGATTTTATGTATGAATATTTAAATATATATATGTATTATCAATCATATTTTAAGATAAAAAATTATAAAAAATATTATTATTACAAAAAAATTTTAAATATAATTTTTTTAAATTGTCCTATTATACCATTTAATTTATTTCCTTTCATAAATCTTTAAATCATGTAGATTCAATTAATTTTTTTAATAACTAATATTTTAAAAATCTTTATAATTGTTCATTTTAGTAGTTAAATATATTTTTTTAAAAAAGTTAAAAATTTTTTTTTTTCGTATATAATTTATTTTATATTTTATATTTTAAAATATGAGAAGAAATATTTATTATTTTAGTCTTCTTAATAATTTTTTGTCGAATTTTTTTATTTTATTTTATTTAAGTTAATTATTTTCATTTCCTTTATTTTTTTTTTTTTTTTTTTTCATGTTTAAGCTCATGATGCTTTTGTTCTTTTTTTTTTATTTTATTTTATTTTATTTTTTATTTTTTTTTTTTTTCTTTGTTTATAACAATATTTTGCTTTTTTATTCATAAATATAAATGAATATATTTTTTCTCCTTTTTTTATTTGTTAAAATCCTTTTTTATAGATTTAACTTATTAAAATAATTTTTTTTTTTTAGGATATTTTTCTTATTATAATTTATAAATAATTCATATGAACTATTGTNCTTTTTTTTTTTTTTTTTTTTTTTTCATGTTTAAGCTCATGATGCTTTTGTTCTTTTTTTTTTATTTTATTTTATTTTATTTTTTATTTTTTTTTTTTTTCTTTGTTTATAACAATATTTTGCTTTTTTATTCATAAATATAAATGAATATATTTTTTCTCCTTTTTTTATTTGTTAAAATCCTTTTTTATAGATTTAACTTATTAAAATAATTTTTTTTTTTTAGGATATTTTTCTTATTATAATTTATAAATAATTCATATGAACTATTGTTATTTATTATAACTTAGTTTAAAACTATAATTCATTAATTAGTTTTTCTCCATGAACTTTTTAAAAATATACTAGATGTTTTATAAATTTTTTGTAAGATAGAAAAAAAAAATAAAAGTATAAATATTTTTTTTTTTTTGCAATAATGTTAAATGTAAGTGTTTTTATCTATTTTTCAAATTATTTATTTTCATACTTCTAAATTTTAAAAATTTCAATTATTTGCATTAAACGACTTCCGAAAGTTTTTATTTTATTTTATATTCTTTATATGGAATATAAAAGAATGTGTGAATATTTTATATTATAAAAATATTTCATAGAGGAGAATCTTTTATTATTTTTTTTGTGAGAATAATTTTTTTATAAGAGATGTTTTTTATTATATAAAGTTTTGTCCCACTTATTTTTATTTTTTTTATTAGTTATTATTTTTTGTTTAATAAAATAAATAATGTAATTTTTTTAGTTACAGTAATGAAATTTATTCTTATTAAAAAAAAAAAAAAATTCATTTCTTTTTATAATTATTTGATATAAATACAGACTTTTTTATTTTTCTTTTTTAGTCTTAAAATTTATGAATTTCTTTTTTTTCCATTGAGATTATTAAATTAACTGTTATGTTTTTTATCTTTTTTTATTAATCTTCTCTTCTTTTCTTTTTTTTTTTTTTTTTTATTATTTTTATTTCATTTTTAATTTAATATAGAAAAATGAAAAAAGAAATAAATAATCATACCTTATCAAGACGTGGTTTAGAAAGTCTATCAAAAAAGAAGGAACATTTTAAAAATGAAGAGAAGAAAGTCTTTAGAATATATATATATGCTCTAATAACTTTTATAATTTGTTCTTTAATTTTATTATACTTTACTAATAATTCTATAGAGAGTCATGACTTAATTTTTAATAGTGATGAAATAGAAATATTTAAAGATTTATTAAAAAGGTATAAGGAAGAAAACAGTTTAAAAAATGATGAAAAAATAGAAAATGATTATAATAGTAATGATTTACAAAAGAAAAAAGTTAATAAAAATATAATAATTGATGATTTATACAATTTAATTGATGAGAAGAATAATATAAGTAAAGAAAGATTATTCGAAATATTAGATGATTTATTACAAAAAAAATTTAGCAAAAAGAATGAAAAAGAGGAGTATATTTTATTAAATGGAATAGCAAAAAAGAATGATAATAATTTATATAGAGAATATGATAAGAATGAGGAGTTATATGATAGTAAAGCATTGGTAAATTTATATAGTAATTTAAAATATGTATCTAAATTTTATGAATTTATGAATGAGCATAATAAGAATTATAATAGTATGAAAGAAAAAATAGAAAAATATGAAAATTTTAAAATAAATTATTTAGAAATAAAAAAACATAATACAGAAAATCATTTATATAAAAAGAAGGTAAATAAATTTAGTGATTATTCTAAAAAGGAATTAGAAAATTATTTTAAAAAGTTAGTTCCAGTACCTTCTCATTTGATAGAAAAACATGTAAAACCATTTAGTACCATATTAAAAAGTGTGAAAGGAATTGAAGAAAAAGAAAAAAATAAAGATTTATTTAGTACATTTCCTACTAATCTAGATTATAGAGAAAAAGGAATAGTACATGAACCAAAAGATCAAGGGGTATGTGGATCTTGTTGGGCCTTTGCAGGTGTAGGAAATATTGAAAGTATGTATGCATATAAAAATAAGAAAATGATAAGTTTGAGTGAACAAGAAGTAATAGATTGTTCTAAAAAATGTTTTGGATGTGATGGATGCCATCCATTTTATGCTTTTTTATATGCATTGGAAAATAAAATATGTTTTGAAGAACAGTATGAATATAAAATAATGGAAAATATTTTTTGCTTAAATTATAGATGTACAAATAAAGTTTCTTTAACTTCAATTGGTAGTGTTAAAGAAAATGAATTAATAGAAGCTCTGAATAAGGTTGGCCCTTTATCTGTTTGTGTAGGTGCAAGTGATGATTTTGTTTTTTATCATGAAGGTATTTTTGATGGTATATGTACAAAAGAAGTAAATCATGCCGTTCTTTTAGTTGGATACGGGCAAGTTGAAAAAAATAAAAATTTACAAAAATACAAAGGATCTTTTTCTGATGAAGATGATAATTTTATATACTACTGGATTATAAAAAATTCATGGGGAAGTAATTGGGGAGAAAATGGTTTTATGAGAATTATTAGAAATAAAAATGGTGATAACTTATTTTGTGGAATTGGTAAAGATGTCTTCTATCCTGTATTATAAAAAAGAAAATATTTTATAAAATATTCTTAAACTTAAAAATATATATATATATATATATATATATATATATATATATATATATATATATATATAATTATAATTACTATAAATATTTTAAAAAATAATGTTGTACACATTTACATATTTAATTAAAAGATTTTAAGATATAACATTTTTATAAAACAAATAAAAAAAAAAAAAAAAAAAAAACTCTACTTCTTTATAAAAGTTTGCTACATATATAAATATATTTATTTTACAAAAATCATAATATTTTTAAAAGGAATTATTTTTATTAATATATTTAGTTGTATGCTAAAATTAAAAAGCACAAATTATTATGATTATTATTACATATATTTAATTAGATTATTATTATTATATATACATTTTAATAAACTAATGAATTTTATTGAAATATTTATTTAAAATTAAAATTTTTAAATTACAAAATGTAATTATTCTTTAAAAGTGCATATTATCAAAAAAATAATTTAATTATTTAAAATATCGTAAAATATTTAAATTAATTTATTCCTTTTAACATTTTTTATGTTCATTGAAAAATTTTTTTAAAAATTTTTATAATTTTGTATAGGATTTTATATATGTTTTTTTTTTTTTTTTTTTTATATATATCTTTTTTTATATAAATGCATAAATAAAAAGATGTATATTAAAAATTAAAAGTTTTAATTTTATTTTATTTAATTTGTTTATTATATTCTTTTCATTTTGAGGATTATAATAAAATTACTTTATTACAAAAAAAAAAAAAAAAAAAAAAAAAAAAAAAAAAAAAAAAACATAGCTATTATGTATATTGAGATATTTGAATTTAAAAGAAATTTTATTTAAACATCACTAAAGAAAAAGAGAACATGATATTACTACTAAACTTGTATTTAAATATTTTTTTTGATTTATGGCATAACCAAAATATTTAGAATTTTTTATGTAATAAATAAATAAAAAAAATTATAGAAAAAGATAATTTTTTTATAAGGAGTATTATGAAAAGATTCAGTGGGCAAATATTACTAATTTCTACATGTATTTTGAGTGTTGGTGTGTATTATTATGTAAAAACTACAAAATATTCTGATTATAGAAGAAGATATGAAGGAGTTTTAAATGATATAGAAAGACAAAAAAAAAAAATTGAGAAATGGAAAGTTAAGAATTTATAGATTAAAAAAAAAAAATATAAAAATATACATAAACATAAGAATGAAGAATTATATTAAAACGAATAATTTATTACACCATTAAATTATATTACAGTTTTATTTAAGTTCAGCTTTTTTTTTTTTTTTTTATTTCTTTTTTAATTTATATTTTATTTATCTTATATGTTTCCTATTTTAATAATTTTATTAATATATATTTATACCCGTTTTTAATTGTTAAAATTAAATAACAGTTTATCGTAAAAATAGAAGAAAAAATGAAAAAAATAAATTTATTACTAAACGGATTAGGGAATATTTTTAAAAAGAGAAATAATAACCAATTGCAATCATCTATACTGAAAAATATAAAAATACAAAACATATACTGTAACGAGAAGATTAATAAAAAGGATCATTATATTTATTTTAAAGAATATGATATAAAAACAAATAGTAAGTAAAAGAGAAAATGAAATTGGATATAAAAATTTTGTATGTATACATTGTAACATATATATATATACATATATATTTATGTATATTTATGTATATGATATTTTTTTTCTTTTTTTTTTCTTTTGTAGATTGTGATTACAAAAAAGTAATGAAAACTAAAAAGTTGTTTAAAGTTGGAAACTATAATAAGAATGTTATTTTATTTATTTGTTTTGGTTCTATTTCAAGTATAATTTTATTTGTGTTTTTTATATCAGTAAAATGGAATAATTATTATTATTAAAATTAAGAGTTCTGCAAAAAAAAAATTTTTTTTTTAAAAATAATATATAAGTTTTTATACTAAATATAGTATTTCGTTTTGTTTTACTTTCCTTTTATATAAATATATATATATCCAAAAATAAGGTATGGTTTTTGGTATTTTTTTATTTTATTTTCATATATTTATTTTTTTCTCTATTGTGTTTTATAAAAATATTTATTAATTTAAATCAAATATATTGTTTTAAAAAGGAATTTAAACAAATGTGTAAAAAATTTTCTTCATTTTTATTTAAATTGCCGTTATGCCCACTATTTACAAGCAATGGGAAGCCGAGAACCCTAAAAAAAAAAAAAAGAAAAAAAAATGAAAAAAAAAAAATAAAAATAATTATATAAATGAAAAAATATTAAAAATAAATATAGAAGAATTAAAAAAAAAAATAATAAAAAAAATAAAACATAAAACAAATAGAATAATTAATTATTTACTTTGGAGAATATATTTTATAATAATCTTTATAAAAAATTTTAAAAGATTTAATAGGTTCCAATAATTTTATGTCTAAGTTTTTATCTAGATCATCTTGATTAATATTCATGTCTAACGATTTATTCAAACGTTGAAAAAATGTATAAATAATATAAGTATGTGTTATTATTTTTTTAAATATTGATATGCGATATATTAAAAAAATTATAAATTGAATATTTGTATTTTGACTAATTGTGCTATATTCAGAAGTTAACTTTTCTGTATAAGTTTTTATTTTATTTAATTCATTTCTTATTAGTTGATATATTTTACAAATAGTCATTCTATTATTTAATCTCATCCAACTTACATATTTTTCTAAATGTTCAGGAAGATTAATATTATTTGCATCAATTCCAATATCATTGGCAAATATATCAAGAAATTTATTAGATTTTATAGATAAGTTGCTTCTGCTTTTTAAAAATGACAATAACTGTTTTATATCTATTATATATGTATTATCAACTAATTTATAAAATATATTAAAAGTACTACTATTATTATATTCTTTAAAATAATTTAAACAGATAATTAAATCATGCAATAACATAGACTTTTTTATTGTAACATATGTTCTACTTATATTATCTTCATTAAAATAATTTCTATTTGTTTCAGAAAAATTGTTAATAGTTGATCTATTCTTATATGCAAAATTACTATTTGTGAAATGTATATCTTCTTTAGATATGTTCATACTACTTTTTTCATCTTCTTTCTCATTTTTATTGTTCATGTTAAATATATTTTTTTTTTCTTCATTATCATTTAACAACTCTTTTTCATAATAATGAGAAAAAATATAAGGAATATGATAAAGATGATTAAAAAATTCATTTTTTTTTTGTAAATTAAAACATTGAGAAGGATAAGAACCAAAAACTTTCATTCTACAAATAAAATATTTTAAAAAATTTACTTTTTCTTTTTCTGGAACTTTGTTTAATTCATTAAATAATTGTCCACAAGAGTTTAAATTATAATTTATTGTGTTTATAATTTCATCTATAGAGCTACTAAATTCATTTAAAAATGTTATTACATCTATATCTTCTATATGAAATGCAGGTTGATCATTATTTCTGTTCTCTGTATTTATATAATCATATAAAAAATCATTTTTCAAAAAAAAACCACTATAAGTAAAATGAACTTTTTCTATTTCTTTTCTTTTAGACATATAAAGATCCTTTAAAATTTTGTTAAGTTTATCCATTTCATGTTTAAAATCTTCATCTTCTTTTAGCATATCATATATATTCGTTTTTTTAAAAATAGAATCATCATTCATATACTCCATTATGAAATCTTCATAAGTAGAGTTTACTTTTTTAAAAGGGCTGATAAAACTAAAATTATCATTATATATACAATATATGGCATTCTGTGTTTGTTTTTCTAATTTATCTTCTTTAGAATTATATAAAGACATAATAGAAGTATAAGTTTCTAAACCTATTGAAATAAAAGAGTTATTTGTTGTTGAAGACTTATTTAAAAATAAAATACAATCATTTAATATTTTCCAGCTTTGCAAAAATAGCCTGAAATCAATATTTTTTAATTTATTATCTAACCAACAATTATCGATATATTCATCTATAATAAATATATCATTATAATGAGGTTTTTCATTTAATATATTTATACTATTTCTATTTAAGTTATTGTTTTTATAATTGTTACTTTTTTTCATATCATAAAAATTATTATTTTTTTCAATTTCTGTATCTTTATTAATGTTATTAATTATATTATAATCATCTGTATTTTCTACTAATGGCAATAAATCGTCAGTATTTAAATCATCGTTTTCATAATCTTCTCTTTTGCTTTGTTTTATCTCACTTTTTCTTCTTTGGGTATTCATATTTAGTTTTCCATTTTTATATAATTTTGATACTTCTTTTGATATACCAGTTAATGCATTAGACATGTAATGAATTATTTCATCATAATTATCATAGATTAAAATTTTTGGTACATTAGAATTTATATAATATTTTGTTATGTCTAATTTATATGATGTAAATTGCAAAACATTGTATGCATATTCACCTATCATATATTTTGCTACCTCTTCAAAATTATAAAATGATTTATCAATGCATACAAATGATATTTTCGAATTTTCTAATGAATTACTACAATTTAATAATTTTTTTGAACTTACATTATTTAGGTTCATCTTTTTTTTCATTCGTGAATTGTATACTCTTAATTTTAATAAAGTAATATATTGTAAAAATATCATTATATATTTAAAAGGAAATAATAATTTCTCTGAAATTTTTTTTTTTTTTTTATTCATCAATCTATTTATTTTATTTATTTGTTTATTAATTCTTTTTTTGTGGAGTTCATTCTTATATAATTTATCCATTAATTCTGTATTACTGTTTTTTTTATCGAAATTACACAAATGATAGGTAACATAAGAACATAACGGTCCACCTATTGATCTTCCATGCAATCCTAAATATTTCACTTTTTTTGATAAAAGATATTCAGAAATTTTCAACGCATCTATATTGTTTTTGTTAAAATTCGGAAATCCTTTTGACTTTCCGTAACCTCTATAATTATAAACAAAAACATTAATATTGTTTTCTAAATAAAACTGAATTGTTCCAGAACAACAAGCATTTAATTCATAATATGAGCCATTAGGATTAAAATATAGTACTAATGGAATATCATATAAATAATCATTATGATATATATAATTATAAAATTCATTATTAAAAGCATTAAAAAAAATAGAATTATTATTTGAGGAATTTTCATATATATCTAAACTCTTTCCTGATTTTTTTAAATTTATATATTTTTGCATTTTATCATTTAAAAATTTCTTACAAGGAATAAACATACAATCTATTTTTGTTTTATTAATATACATATACTGTTGTTTTGCATAATATTTATATATCATTTCATATTTAAATAAGTCTAATGTCCCTGCTATATGGTTTTTTGAAAAATTATTAATAAAACTATAGGCATTTTTTATTTGGAATTTTTTCCTTAACGTATTAATTTTAAATATATCACTTAGCTTATTTAAAAAGAATGTCAAATCGTCTAATAATTTCAAAAAATCATGATAATTTACTTCCATAAAAAAATCTTTATAATTCACATGTGTAATGGATTTTTCATAGTTTTCATGATAAAATAAACTTAAAAATTTTATATTAACATAATTAGAAGGAATATTATTCATATATACATTATTATTTCTTAAATTTGTATTTTCATTTTTTATATGGTTAAAATCATTATATGTGTTTTTATTTTTATCACTAAAATTATATACATCTTTTTCACTATCATAATTGCTATTATTTATCTTATCACTAATATGGATAGGTTTATTATTATAAATATTATAATACCTATTAGTATTATTATTGTTATTTGTAGATATTAAAAATTTTGATTCTTCTTGTATTTTACTATTATTTAATTCTTTAATATTAAATATGTAATTAAGAATCTTACACTTCCATTTTTCATATGGTGAATTTAATTTATTTTCCTTTTTCACTTTTTCTTCAAAATTTTGTTCATATAAAGTATTTTTATTTTTCATGAATTCATTTACACACTCATTGAAATCTCTTCGTATTTTTATTTCAGTAAATAATTCGGGGTATATTATATCACTTTTATTAATATATACCTTTATTTCGTTGATTCTTATCATAAAAAATTTTAAATAATAATAAAAATTTAACTGTTCATCACTTAAATCAGCATTTTCTTCTAAATTAATATAAAGGTAATAACTAATATATAGTGTATAAAATATATTTAAGCTACTAAAAAAATTAAAATAGGCATCTTTATTATTATAATCTGAAAATAGTTGTTCTAATTTAATCATAATATAATCGTTAGTTTTATCGTCATTTTTAGCTATTTCTTTAATTCTTTCACCTACATCATTTATTAAACATGTTAATTTTACTGTCTCTTTTAAATAAAATTTACATATTTCTATTCTATTATCATAATTAGTCTTAATAAAAGAAGGAAAAAAAAAGAAAATTGAGATTTTTATAAAAAATGGTAAAAAATTATATGTTTTTACAATTTATATAATAAAAACAAATATATATATATAGACGCAATTTTTTTTTTTTTTTTTTAATAGTCACCTTATGGTAGAAAATAAATAAACTTCCAGGATACGTTAAAGCTCTAACAACAAAATGAAAACATAAATAAAAAAACGATATATTCACAAATAAATAAAATAGAGCATTATTAAATATATAAAGAAATATGGATACATATGTGTACAAAAAATACAATAATGTTATGAGAAAAAAGATTGATGAGCTATTTTTTTTAAAAATTTTAAATAATTTTTTGAAAAACATAATTGTGGTTATATGATAAGATTTATGTAACAAATTGATTTTCATTTGTTTTTAAGTTTTATTTTATAAACAATATACTGCATTTTACAACACAAAAAAAAAAAAATAAAAATGAGTTTGCACTTGTATAAATATATATATATATTTGTTTATTTAAATTTTTTTTATAAAAAATTCTATAATTCTACTATAAAATATAAAAAATTCAAGTTTCGTTAATACTAAAAATATTTATATAATTTAAAATTGTAACATAATAAACTTTTTGAAAATTTTTGGTGTAGTTTTTGAACGCACATTAAAAAAAACCCTCGTTTTTATTACATAATTAAAAATAAAAATATTTTGCTATGTATGTATATATATATAAATATATAATATATATACATAATATATTTTGTATGTTTAAATTTTTTTAGGAGATTAAGTTGAAGCAGAATAATATTATAATCACTTAAAGCTATAAGTGTATCTATAATTAAAGAAAAAATTGTTTCATTATTTTTAATAACTTAAAAAATAGAAATAGAATAATTAAGGAAAAGATATTTTTATTACTTTGTTTTTTTTTTTTTTTTTTTTTTTTTTTTTTTAATTTATTTAATATTAACACAAACATGAATAAAAAAAAATTATGAACACATCTTAAAATTATAATGAGCTATTTTTTTTTTTTCCTTTCATTTTTAAAGTATTGCCATGCAAGAAAAAAACATTGAAAAAAAAAAAAAAAAAATGAATATTAATATAAAAAATAAAAAAAAAGATTATATTAAATTTATAAATAAAAATAAAGTAATAAGTGAAAAATCTAATAAAAAGACCCAAAAGATATATAAAAAAGTATAAAGTTAAAAATTAAATGAATATGTGTATATATATATATATATATATTATTCTAACTAATATATACATCATATTTTTCTTTTTTCTTTTCAATTATTTCCTGTAATTTTTTTTGAAGATGAATCAAAATAGGATGATTTACATTTTTTTCAAATGTTTTCTTGTTGTCTGAAAAAAGTATAATTTTTTTAATTGGTAAGATATTTCTAGTTGTAGAACATATAAAGCAGAATTCAAAGTATTCAATATCTTTTATGTTAATAGAATCTTTCTTTAACTTCACACCTTCTTTTTCACACAGGTCTATTATTTCTTTTCTTATTGTTCCATTTAAAACTAATTCATCTTTAGATGTGTACAATGTATCATTGAAAAAACAAAAAAAATTACAAGTTAATCCTTCAGTTATTTCATGTTTATCATTATATAAAACTATTTCATGACTATCTGGGCATTTCATTTTTAATAACTTATCTTTAATTTCAAAAACATCTGTATATTTTATATTTGGTAATTTTCTTTGACCATACATAATATCAATTTGTATATTATTAGGATGACATGGCAAAGATTTTATAAAACATAAAATAGAATAATTTCTATTTAACGAAATATTATTATTTTCAGTTTCCCACATTACAGTTACAATTATCATGTAATCTGAATTTTCATTGAAATATTTTCTTTTTAAATCATCATTTAAATTATTTAGAAATTCAAAAGCTTTTTTAATATTTTCACAACAGTGTTTACGTATATTTTCCACTGTTACACATTTTAAAATTTTAGATATGTATTCTTCGTTATCTTTTGTCCTTTGCAAATTCAAAAATTCTGTTGTATACTTACATAAATTTTTCATATGTAAAGTTAAGTTAAAAATATATTCATGAGATAATACTGTTTTCATAGTTGTATATACTCCATTTATTCCTAATTTTATGAAATCTTGAATTGACATATCAACTAATGATGGTATATTTTCTTTAATTAAAATTGCCATTTTTTATATTTCATGTTTATAAGTTTGTTATTAAATTATGATATTATTTAAATGATTATTTACTAACATAATAAAATAAATATATTCATAAATTGCGTAATTTATATATATATACAAATATAAAAATTTTATAATTTTATAAAAAAAACTATTTAAGGAACATTTTATAAAATTAAGTATATCTATAACAAAAATAGCATCATTTTATTCTTAAAAGTATATTAAAACAAAATAATAATATTGAAAAATAAAAATAGGAATAAAAAACTAATAAAGAAAAAAAAGAAATACACATAAAAGTACATATACGAAATTTTAAAAATTTTACAATTTATAGTACTTTTAGCTTTTAATTCTTAATTATAAAGAAATATAAATCATTTACTTTTACACAAAAAATTTTCGTAAATTGCTATATTTTTATACTTTTTTTTAAAAATATATTTTGTTTTTCCTCAAGTTCATTAATGCTATCGAGATTTACAAGAAAATTTCAAATAATTATAATATTAATAAGATAAGAAACTAAATATTGAAATAATTTTTTTTTATATATGTTTATTAACAAATATTTCTATTAATTTATTTTAATAACAACATTATTTTATTCCCATTTAAAAAAATAATGTTATGCTGAATCTAAAGTATTTTTTCTTTCTTTTTTAGTTTCATATTGAAATATTTTTTTCTACTAAGCTTTTAATTTTTTATTTTTAAATTATAAAAATTATTTTATTTTTACTTTACAAATAAATTAACGAGAAATTTTCTTAAAAAAAATTAAAAATTAAAATAAAATTTTGATCTTACATTTTAAATTAAGTATGAAGTATAAATTTTCAAATTAATGGTAAAATCTCTCCTATTATTTATTCATGTAAAATAAATAATTATTATTAGTACATTTTGATGCTTTTGTAACTAATTTAACCTTATTATTTTTATAAAATATTAAGGAATGAAGATTATATAAAATAGAAAAAGACAAATAATACATCAGGTACAATGTAAGTTAATTAATTACTAGATTCAATGAAATTATATTCTGACATAATATATAAAGTAACATATATATACTTATTTTTATGTCTTTATTATGATTAAATTAAGAAATGACTTTTTTTTTTTTTTTTTTTTTAAAAAATAAATTCTGTTATATCTTAAATCTAAATAATTTAAAAAAAAAAAAAAATAATAAAATAAAATAAAATAAACTAAAAGAAAATTAAAGTAAAATACAATGAGCAATGTTTAATAAAGAAATATGATAATGAGAAATTATTGATAAAAAAAAAAAAAAAAAAAAAAAATTTATAATAAAATATCAATGAATTACACATTATCTAATAATTTACTTAATATATTGTTTTGTTTTATTTTATTTTAATTATTTTTGTATATATATATGTATGAGTAAAATGAAAAGAAATAATGAAGAATTTGATGATTATTATGATGCTTATGAGGAAAACTGGACTAATGATACATTTGGAGAATTAGAATATACACAAAGTTTAGAAAAAAATATAAGAAAAAAATTAAATAAAGAAGAATCGAAACAAAATAGTTTTTTTACTGAAAGTGATAAAATAAAAATAAATAATAATAAAGTACAATTAAATAGAATTGATACAAGATCAGATGGAGAAGATAAGGAAGAAAATAGTAATAATTTAAGATTTAATAATGGTGATGATGAAAATAAAAATGATGATATATATCAAGAAAAGATAAAGAAAGTTGTAAATAAATTAAATGATGAAGATGATAGAAAATTTTCAAACGATGAACTTAGTAATCAACTAGATGAAAATAAAAAAGATGACCAAGAATCTTGCTTATTTAAAGATATATATGAGGAATTAGAAAATTCTAGAAATCATCAAAGAGGAAATCCCTTGTATGAAGATAATTTTACCAAAAGAAATAATGATACTTTTTTTCAAAATTTAGAATACAACAGCAGTAATACTGAAACAGATAACGATGAAGTTCATTCAAATTCCCCATTTAATATTAATGATTCTGCTATGCACTTATGGGATAATATAAACGATAATAATAGTAATGATAATATTAATAATTATGATAGTGATAATAATATTAATGATTTTAATAATAATAATAAAAATAATAATAATAATAATAATAACGATATTAGTGAAAATAATAATAACAATATAAGTGAAAATAATAATAACAATATTAGTGAAAATAATAATAACAATATTAGTGAAAATAATAATAACATTAGTGAAAATAATAGTAACAACATTAGTGATAATAATAGTAACAACATTAGTGAAAATAATAATAACAATATTATTGAAAATAATAATAACAATATTAGTGAAAATAATAATAACAATATTAGTGAAAATAATAATAACAATATTAGTGAAAATAATAATAACGATATTAATGAAAATAATAATAACTACATTAGTGAAAATAATAATAACAATATTAGTGAAAATAATTATAATAATGATATTACTAAAAATAGTAATAATATTACTGATATTATTAATATTAGTATTAATAATAATAATAAAGAAAAAGAGTGTGACTTAAAATTAAAAAACTCTTTTTCAAATTATATATATAATCATTTAGATACAAATGAATATGAAAAAGACTATAATGATATTGATAATTTTAAAGGGAATAACTCTGAAAAGAAAAAAGTGAATACATACGATGGAAATTTATTAACATTCTTAAGAGATAGTATGAAAGGTGCTAATAATTTACTTAGTAATAAAATGAATTTAAAAGATAAAAGAAATTTTTTACAAAAAGATGAAGGCATATTTAATAATGAAAATAATGATAAATATTCAGATTATAACAATAATGCTAAAAATTGTGATAATAGCTCGAATAACAAGGATTGTTCTTTTATTAATGTTCCTAATGATATATTTAAAGAGGGTATATCTGTTAATAATAGTATAAATAATGATGATTATATTATTCATAATAGTTACAGTAGTTTAAATGATAATAGTAATCCTATTAAAAATAATGATATAAGTTTAAGTAATAATGATAGTACGGTTGATAATAGCAATAGTAGTAAAAAGAATAACGATTATGATAGTAACAGTGTAAAAATTATAAATAGTAACTATTATGACGATAAAGTTAGTTATGATTGTAATACTAACAAAGATGATTATGATAATTTTCATAGCAGTAATGATGATAATCTCAGTCTGTATGAAAAAGATTTAAATAATAGCAATGATAAAGCAAATAGTTGTGAAGATAACAGGAAAGATGTCAATGATACAACTAATGAGAATGATAAAAAATTAAACGAAGATAGTATATCTCTTGTACAAACAAACATAAATTTTAAAACGAAAAAGAATCATTTAAAGACAGATTTTCGTAGTGAAAATGATAAAATTTTTAATAGTAACGAAAGTCTAATAAAAATTAACAAAAATAAAAATACTACTAGTAATAAAACAATTAAAAATTCTTTATTTTTGAAAAAAAATAAGAATTTTTTCCCTGAAAATAAAGATAACTTTTTAAAAAATAACACAAAAAACTATTTAAATTCATTTAAAAATGAAAAAAAAAATGAACATAAAAATTCTACGAAAAATAATAATGATGAAGCTGATATAATATACGTTGACTTAAATGATGAAGAGCAATGGGAAGAAATTGATAATGAAAATATGAGGAAAGAAAAATTAAAAAAAAAAAAAATAATGACAGTTTTAAAAGAAAATGTTGAAACATCAAAGGCAAATAATGAAAAAGATAGCATTGATAAAATGTCATTAAGAAAAAAAGATAATATGCATAATAAAGATAAAAAAAAGACTAAAAAAACGAATGAATACAATAAACATGACGAATTAAAAGAATTAGGTGAAGAATTGAATAAGCAAATAAATAAGTTAGAAAAAGAACAAAATAAAGTAAAAAAATTAGAATATGAATTAATAGCAAAAAGCGCTGAAATAGAATTAGAAAGAGAAGAAATGAAAAACAAAATGGAAGAAGAAAAAAAAAAAATGATTAAAACAATTGAGGAAGAAAAAAAAAAGTGGAGTAAAGAAAAAAAAAGAATAGAAAATGAAGTAGAAAAACAAAGAAATATTGTATTAAATAGAAGGAAATTAACAAATGAAATAGCAATGTTTAAAAATAAAATTAAAGAATTAGAAGATAATATAGAAAAGGAAAGAAAACAACATAAAACAATTGTAGATAAACTAAAAAAGGGAATTGAAAGCTTAACAAAAGAAAATGAGAAGCTTAAAACAGATTTAAAAATATCAGAAGAATACAGGAAAAAGTTAGAAAGTTATCAAGAAAAAACAATTATGAAACTAGCAAAAAATGCTAACGAAAAAAAAAAAAAAGAATTGTATGATTATACAGAGGAAGAATCAAATTATAATTTAATGAGTAATGATCAAATAGAAAACAAAGATGATGTGGGAGAATATGCGTTAAAGAAGAAAACAAAAAAAGATAGAAAAAATGAAATAAAAAATAAGTTTGCATATATACATGATATGAAAGAATACAGAGAATCGGATATATCTGAAAATTCCAATGAAATAAAAGAAATAATAAATGATAAAAATAAAAAAATTCATAATGAATTAGACATAATATATTATAGTTCCAATAGTGATAATGAAAATTTCAAAAAATTTTCACGAAAAGATGATACATGTATAAATGTATCGAGTAATAGTTTAAAAAAAAAAAAAAAAATTACACTTAGTAATTTATTTGTTCATAAAGAAGATATGAAAAATTCAGATTCTCTTAAAACAAGTGAAGAATATATAAATAAAAATTTGAAAAAAGTAAAATCAATAATAGAAAAAAATAAAAAAATATTAAATAATGATAAATTAGATATGGAAGAAGAAAAAAGTAGTATTACTACTGATCAAAAAAATTACAAAGAATTTTTTTATGAAAATAACAATGAAACAAATAACTTTATAAACAAAAATATTATTTATGAAGACATAAATATGAATGATGAAAATCTTAAAAATTCTTCTTTTTCAAATAATTATTTATATTCTAAAAATGAAAAAATGAAAGTAACAAAAAATTATGACATAATGTTTGAAAATTTAAATGAAAAAATATCAGTAAATAATTTAATTATAAATAACAATATACCAACTACACAAAGCGTTAATGATAATCATAAAAATTCTTTAACAAATGTGAATGAAAATTTAGTTGATAACTTATTAACTCATAAAACAAATGAAGATATTAGCAATTATACAAGTACCTCAAAGATGAAAGAAAAAAAAAATTATGAATATTCAAAAGAAAATTCAAAATATTTACAGAAAAATATATCGAATGTTACTATGAATTATTTAAATAATAATTTGACCAATAATAAACATGTAAACAATTATCCTGTTAATAGAAGTTCATATGATGATTGTAATAATAAAATTAACATAAATAATAATTTGATACAAAGTAATTATATGAAAAATGGATCAACAAATAATTATTATAATTTAAATCCTTTTGGTAAAAGTTGGGAGTTTATACTAAATTTTAATTTTGATGAATTATTTAATATTTGTGAAGAAGTTATTAAATCAGTTTTTTCATCATCAAAAAAAATAAAATATAGACAAGCATTTATTGATGGAAAGGTTGAAACATTATTTGATGATGGTTTAAAAATAATTGAAAAAAATAAAAACAAAAAAATTATCCATCCAAGTAATTTAACTATTTATCTTTATCCAAGTAAAGATTATAAGGCAAAGTTATCAAATTCCTATATGGTATGATATTATTATCTTTATATATATATATATATATATATATATATATATATATATATATATATATATATATATATATTTAAAAAATTACAATATTCTACACTTATTTTCTTATAATATTTTTTTTATGAATTGAAGTTATTCTTTATATTTAATTTTACAATAAACTTTATATTTGTTTTAATATTAATGAAAATTCTTTTCTACTTAGTTATACAATTTTGTTAGTAAAGGTATATATCAAGTAAACATACCAAATAAATGCCATTTAAATAAGTAAAAAATAAGAATATAAAAAAAATTATTATTCTATATTTTTAAATATATTTTTAATATTAATTTTTTTCTTTTTTTATTCAAGGTTTCCAAGTGGACAAATAGATTGCAAATACAACGATGGTCATATACAAATATTATTTTATGATGGAAGAAGGAAGGAAATTTTGCCAAATAGAGAGGAATATGCTATATTACGTAATGGTAATATTTATATTTTTTCTTCAAAAGATAAGAAATGACTTTCATTCATAAAAATACTATATATGTAATTGAACTATATATATATATATATATATATATATATATATATATATTTATATATACATATTTGTGAGTGTATATAGTTTTATATTTTATTATTTTTTCTTGAAAACATAATTTTTACGAAAAAAAAATTTATATTTTTTATAGGTACTATAAAAAAATTAAATTAAAATTTAAGTTCCTTTTATAAATATTTACATCAATCTTCAGATTATTGCTTCTTTTATTTTCAAAATATTCTGAAATTCTGATTTTATATTTATGTCAAAAAATTTAAAGCTGCACATTTCTCTTTTTTAATAACTAGCATAATTTTTAATAATAAAAAAATATAACATCAAAGAACTTTACATTATTTCCTTTTTTTAAATAAGATATTTTTAAATAATAAAAAACAATTTATTTTTTTTTGTTTCAGCCTTTTTTCTTTTTTTTTTTTTTTTTTTTTTTTTTTTTTTTTTTTTT